GTTTTTCAAATAGCGGAGCTTTTTTACGAAAACCAGAACTCCTTTTTCAAATAGCAGAATTACCTTTTCAAATAGCGGAGCTTCCTTCTCAGAGAGTTGAACTCCCTTTTCAAAGAGCAGAATTCCCTTTTCAAATAGTAGAACTCCCTTTTCAAAAAGCGGTGCCTTCCTTTCAAATAGCAGAACTACTTTTTCAAATAACGGAGCTTTCTTTTCAAATGTCAGAACTCCTTTTTCAAATAGCGGAGCTTTCTTTTCAAAAACCAGAACTCCTTTTAAAATAGCAGAATTACCTTTTCAAATAGCGGAGCTTTCTTTTCAGAGAGCCGAACTCCCTTTTCAAAAAGCAGAACTCCCTTTTCAAATGGCAGAACTCTCTTTTCAAATAACGGAGTTTTCTTTTCAAAGAGCAGAACTCCCTTATCAAATAGTAGAACTCCCTTTTCAAAAAGCGGAGCCTTCCTTTCAAATAGCAGAACTACTTTTTCAAATAGCGGAGCATTCTTTTCAAAAACCAGAACTCCTTTTTCAAATAGCAGAACTCACTTTGCAAATAGCGGAGCATTCTTGACAAATAGCAGAACTCCCTTTTCAAATAGCGGAGCATTCTTATTAAATAGCAGAACTCTCTTTTCAAATAGCGGATCATTCTTTTCAAATAACAGAACTCCCTTTTCAAATAGCGGAACTTTCTCCTCAAGTAGCAGAACTCTCTTTTCAAATAGCGGAGCATTCTTTTCAAATAACAGAGCTCCCTTTTCAAAGAGCGGAGCATTCTTTTGAAATACCAGAACTGCCTTTTCAAATTGCGGAATTTCCTCCTCAAATAGCAGAACTCCCTTTTCAAATAGCAGAACTCTCTTTTCAAATAGCGGAGCTTTCTTTTCAAAGAGCAGAACTCCCTTTTCAAAAATTCAGAACGTCTTTTTCAAATAGCGGAGCTTTCTTTTCAAATAGCAGAACTCCTTTTTCAAATAGCGGAGTTTTCTTTTCAAAAACCAGAACTCCTTTTTCAAATAGCAGAATTACCTTTTCAAATAGCGGAGCTTTCTTTTCAGAGAGCTGAACTCCCTTTTCTAATAGCAGAACTCCCTTTTCAAATAGCAGAACTCTCTTTTCAAATAGCAGAACTCCCTTTTCAAATAGCAGAACTTTCTTTTCAAATAGCGGAGTTTTCTTTTCAAATAGCAGAACTCCCTTTTCAAATAGCACATCTCTCTTTTCAAATAGCGGACCTTTCTGTTCAAAGAGCAGAACTCCCTTTTCAAATAGCAGAACTCCTTTTTCAAATAGCGGAGCTTTCTTTTCAAATATCAGAACTCCTTTTTCAAATAGCGGAGGTTTCTTTTCAAAAACCAGAACTCCTTTTCAAATAGAAGAATTACCTTTTCAAATAGTGGATCTTTCTTTTCAAATAGCAGAACTCGTTTTTCAAATATTGGAACTATCTTTACGAAAACCAGAACTCCTTTTTCAAATAGCAGAATTACCTTTTCAAATAGCGGAGCTTCCTTTTCAGAGAGTTGAACTCCCTTTTCAAAGAGCAGTACTCCCTTTTCAAATAGCAGAACTCTCTTTTCAAATAACGGAGCTTTCTTTTCAAATAGCAGAACTCCTTTTTCAAATAGCGGAGCTTTCTTTTCAAAGAGCAGAACTCCCTTTTCAAATAGCGGAACTCCCTTTTCAAATAGCAGAACTCTCTTTTCAGATAGCGGAGCTTTCTGTTCAAAGAGCAGAACTCCCTTTTCAAATAGCAGAACTCCTTTTTCAAATAGCGGAGCTTTCTTTTCAAATATCAGAACTCCTTTTTCAAATAGCGGAGGATTCTTTTCAAAAACCAGAACTCCTTTTTCAAATAGCAGAATTAACTTTTCAAATAGCGGAGCTTTCTTTTCAAAAAGCAGAACTCCCTTTTCAAATAGCAGAACCCCCTTTTCAAATAGCGGAGCTTTCTTTTCAAATAGCAGAACTCGTTTTTCAAATAGCGGAGCTTTTTACGAAAACCAGAACTCCTTTTTCAAATAGCAGAATTACCTTTTCAAATAGCGAGCTTCCTTTTCAGAGAGTTGAACTCCCTTTTCAAAGAGCAGAACTCTCTTTTCAAATACCGGAGTTTTCTTTACGAAGAGCAGAACTCCCTTTTCAAATAGTAGACTCCTTTTTCAAAAAGCGGTGCCTTCCTTTCGAATAGCAGAACTACTTTTTCAGATAGCGGAGCTTTCTTTTCAAATATCAGAATTCCTTTTTCAAATAGCGGAGCTTTCTTTTCAAAAACCAGAACTCCTTTTTCAAATAGCAGAATTACCTTTTCAAATAGCGGAGCTTTCTTTTCAGAGAGCCGAACTCCCTTTTCAAAAAGCAGAACTCCCTTTTCAAATAGCAGAACTCTCTTTTCAAATAACGGAGTTTTCTTTTCAAAGAGCAGAACTCCCTTATCAAATAGTAGAACTCCCTTTTCAAAAAGCGGAGCCTTCCTTTCAAATAGCAGAACTACTTTTTCAAATAGCGGAGCTTTCTTTTCAAAAACCAGAACTCCTTTGTCAAATAGCAGAACTCCCTTTGCAAATAGCGGAGCATTCTTGTCAAATAGCAGAACTCCCTTTTCAAATAGCGGAGCATTCTTATTAAATAGCAGAACTCCCTTTTCAAATAGCGTATCATTCTTTTCAAATAGCAGAACTCCCTTTTCAAATAGCGGAACTTTCTCCTCAAGTAGCAGAACTCTCTTTTCAAATAGCGGAGCATTCTTTTCAAATAGCAGAACTCCCTGTTCAAATAACGGAACATTCTTTTCAAATAGCAGAACTCCGTTTTCAAATAACGAAACTTTCTTTTCAAACAGCAGAACTCCCTTTTCAAATATCGGAGGATTCTTTTCAAATAGCAGAACTCCCTTTTCAAAGAGCGGAGCATTCTTTTGAAATACCAGAACTCCCTTTTCAAATTGGGGAATTTCCTCCTCAAGTTGCAGAACTCTCTTTTCAAATAGCGGAGCTTTCTTTTCAAAGAGCAGAACTCCCTTTTCAAATAGCAGAACGCCTTTTTCTAATAGCGGAGCTTTCTTTTCAAATAGCAGAACTCCTTTTTCAAATAGCGTAGCTTTCAATAATTAATTTTAAGATATAAATATATCTTGCTCTACTATAATACTGGTGTTGAGCACTTTATTATCTACTACAACAAAACAAGTTATATATATATATATATATATATATATATATATATATATATATATATATATATATATATATATATATATATATATATATATATATATATATACAGGGTACTGCACAGTTCGAAAATTTCGGCAAAACTTTATGCCGGCATGGGGGTAGTTTGAGGTTTGCTAGTATCTTTACCACTAAAATTATTTTCAAAGGAAATCTTCCAGTACGGGAGGGTTTTTAAAAACACTTTCAAAAATGGCTTGCACACAGAAATGGAGTGAAGACTTGAAAGTTAAAACGCAATTCGAATTCATAGGGTGCATATTTGGAAGGTGTTTTATGAGTTATCATAGTTCCAGACAATTATTTGATGTACATTCAAAAATCCAAGGCGCGACCTCTAAAACGTGGACTTTTTTCCCATGGTAACCTTTTACGCACATTTTTTTATTTTTGTAAAAGTATGTAATCAATCATGGATAAAATCAAGCATGCATAAAATCAGTGATGTTTTTAATAAATTGTCGTTTAATGATTGATATCTATTATCCATCGCATAAAAGGGCAATGACTAAGGAAAAGTTCTACTGACCCAATTGACAGTAGCAGTTCATGTCCAAGCTTAAAATATAATAATAGACGGTATATTTAAAATACAATCGCACTAATACAAGTAAAAGTGAATTATAGTATTTTTACAAGCTTAAATTTATGAAGACTACTGTTACTTTTTAAAACTAGGAAATGGAGTTATATAAAAGTAGAAATTTAGATTGTAAACCTAATTGACAACGGTCATGACTTGTTCATAGTACGTGAGCACATAGCTGGGAAGAAACTGTTCTTAAATCTGTCCGTCCTACACTTAAATAGGCTAAGATTACTAGAGTGGCGCAGTTCTCTGCCATGCGACTCAATCCGGGTCGGAGGTAAAATGCGGTTAAGGCGTGATGATGGTATTGTTATTTTATCCAAAACCTTCTTACAAAGAGTATCACGACGATCAGATAGACGGGGAAGAGAGGAGGTAGCAAGCGCGGTTGAATAAGACATGTTTGGATATAAAATCCGTAGAGCACGACGTTGAACCCTCTCGATTATGTCGGAAAGGTAGGAGGGGATAGATGTATTCCAGGCTGCACAGCAGTATTCTAGCACAGATCTGATAATCGAAATGGAGATAGTCAGGAGGTCGTTGGCAGAGACACCGGAGTTACGCAAAACTCGCAAAATGTGAAGTCTCTTTGAAGCTTTGGACGTGATAGAGTCAACATGGGCGTTCCATTTTAGATCGTTTTGTAAGGTGACTCCTAGCAGTTTAAAACAGGTGACCTTTTCTAAAGGTTGGGAGTTGATCGACAATGTAGAAGACAGTTCTGGTGGGGGTTGCGCAGAAAAGAGATGGTAAAGTCCTTGCACTTTTTAGGGTGTAATTTCGTGTTATTACTCATCGACCAGGCATTAATAGAGTGGAGATCTTGTTGTATTCCAGGGGGGAGTTACGATGGATGGCTTGGGAGATGGTAACGTCATCAACAAACATCCAATTACTAGACCTCAACGGAGAATGGCTGGCAAGGTCGTTGATCATTACGAGGAATAGGATAGGGCCAAGCTTGGTACCCTGCGGGACACCGGCAGTAACAGGAGCCCAGTTAGAGGTAAATTGATTAACTTTTACAGACTGCATCCGACCAGACAAAAAGCTACAGATCCACGGGATCAAGGCTCTTCGTACGCCGAGGTTGATAAGTTTCGAAATGACGATGTTGTGGTCGATCCGATCGAATGCTTTACAGAAGTCAAGGAAGCAAACGCGGACGTATTTTCCAGGGTTATCGAGGTGATTTACCAGTTATGAAGGATATCGAGAAGGTAATAAGTAGTGGAAGTGCCTTTTAAACTGCCAAATTGCTGGGGGTCGATTTTATGACCTAATCCGAAATGATCCAATTTACCACAAAGTCCTCCAATACTTTGGAGAGACATGGAGTCAAGGATATAGGTCTAAGGTCACCTTCATCAGAAACAGGCTGAACTTTTGTTATAGGTATTATCTCAGACTTTTTCCAAGCAGTTGGGGTGACTCCTTCGGAAAGAGAAACGTTAAAAACCCGTGCAACTGGTTTGGAGAGCTCGAAAGAAAATTCCTTTAGAATACGTGCGGGGATGTGATCAGGGCCACTTGCTTTGTAGGGGTTAATCTTGGCCAATTTGCTGTAGACTTCAATCTCAGAAATCTTTGAAGGGGTTCTTCCGCAGGGAGGAAAGCAGGTATACTGTTTATGTCCAAAGGGGAGATGTCTTCGTTAACAGATAGGAAAAACGTGTTTAAATGTTCAGCAAGCTCGAAGTCGGTTAAAGCTAACCCGTCCTTCTCGATTGTGAAAGGTTGCGACTTATTTCGTCTTCCTGATAAGCTATTCACAAATCTCCACCATTTCTTACAATCTTCATTCTTAAGATGCTTAACCTTATCTTCGTAAAATGCTTATAATATGAGCGTTGTATACCAGACGTGTATTTTGCCGTTGTAACAAGGCGACGGGGACGTAACAAGGCGACGGGAAATTTCAGTGAGATTTTAATTGTTTATTTCTGCTCATTTTCTTCATAATATATTATTAGCTATAGACGAAATTTTGATCTAGACAAGAAGAACGAAACCATATATTACCAAAGCTGGAAAGAGCATCTTAAAATGAGTAAAATTGCAAAGTTTGGTTCGAATTGCTGTAAAATGTGGAAAATACAGCTAATGCATGCGTTCAAAAAAGGTTGTCTTTTGCAAACCAAAACTCTAAACCTTTTACTCTAAGCGTGCAAAGCATAATGGGAGCATCATTAAGCCTCGTTCACATATATGCCTGCGACGTGCCGGCGACGTATCGGCGACGATACCGGTGCTAGCTTTAAAATGTAAATTATGTGAACATTTGTTCGCCGATTGCCGCCAGTGCTTCAGTTACATCGGCGGTAGGCCGGGAAAGTTGAGTTGAGTTCAACTTTGCCGGTATTTCGGCGGCAAGTAGAGGTATAATAATACAGTCGCAGGCATATGTGAACCAGGCTTTAGTTTAGAAATCATATATGGGGCCCATATCTTAGAGACATCGTCATTATCTCCTTACGAGAACATTTCATTCGTGCACAAATAGCTGCAATATTCAACTACTAAGCTTGATACCTGTGCTCCCATTAAGCTTTGCGCGCTAGAGTTTAAGGCTTAGAGTTTCAGTATTGCAAAGGACGACTTTTTTTGAATTGGCTGTGTAGCCGTGTGAAGTTCGCAAATTTTGTATATTGCATTTTTCCCGCGGAAAAAATAACCATTTTTGAGCCGAAAGTGGTTATTTTTACCGCGCATAATACTAGGGGTTACTATCGCAAGGAAAGTGCTGCTTTGGATCCACAGGCAAATACTGAAACCTCAAATATATCTGAAAACTAAATACAAAATTATTTTCATTTGGCTTAAAATACATTTACATGTACCCATCCGGGCAACCAAGAGGGGGGAGGGGGGGGGGGAATTGGTTGAATTGCCCTGGGCTCCACCTTAATAGGGCCCCAACTTGAGAGCGAAAGCCTAAAATTGAGTAGGTTCTTTAAAATGAGGGCCCCTTACAGTACATCCACATGCAGTCTAGTTAAGGTCTAGCTAATTAGAAATAATGATTTAATGGGGCCCCCAGGGCCAGACTGGAATCTTTGCTGTGCGCAGGGAAGTTCTTCTCCGCGCAATTTTGATACATCCTATACATTTACTTTTAAATTTTCGAAATCTTCCCCGCGCAATTTCCAAACTTTCCAGTCAGGCCCCAGGGAAGATTTGTCCTGAG